TGCTGTTCTATAGGTTCAACACAGAAGCTATGAAAAAACAAAACAAAAAAACCTTTCCATATCTAAAGCACAATATGGATTTGGAAATGCTCTGTAAAAATGCTGCATTTTTTCCACAAAATTCTGCACATACACATGAAATTCTGCTTTGAATGAAATTAATTTAAGTAATAATTTGACGATTAATTTGATAATGAAATAAAAAATGTTTAAACATCAAAGGAGTTCCTGAGGAACCTGTTCTGAAAGGAAACCCCGCTGTTGTAAGGTTCAACACAGAAACTATTAAAAAAGTTTCCCCTAAGGAACAAAATCAAAGAAAAGCTTGGACTTGGAAATGTTTTGTAAAATGGTGCATTCCCCCCCCCCCCAAAAAAAAATTATGCAAATCAAAAATATATAAAAATGAAATTCAAGTTTAATTAAATCGCAAAATTGACTTGACTAACCTTTATAATTAATTTATATATATATATATATATATATATATATATATATATATATATATATATATATATATATATATATATACACATATATAAAAAAGATCAAAGGAGTTCCTGAGGAACCTGCTCTGAAAGGAAACCCCGCTGTTGTGAGGTTCAACACAGAAACTATTAAAAAAAAGTTTCCCCTAAGGAACAAAATCAAAGAACAACTTGGAATTGGAAATGTTTTGTAAAATGGTGCATTTCTTCTGTACAAGATTACACAACAATAAATAAAAATCTGTGGAATCTGCTTTAATGACCATACATTTCCAAAGTACTATAAAAGCTTGCCCTGGGAGACAAACCATAAATAGAAAGAAAGAGTAATTTATATATTATATACACACACACACACATACTCTCTCTCTATCTCTCCATCTGTCTCTCACTCATATATACATATATATATATATATATAATTATCATCTCTAATAAATATATATAATATATATATTATATATAATTATCATCTCTAATAAATATATATAAAAAATTATCATCTCTTTATAATAAATAATATATATATATATATATATATACACGTCTTGTTCGTGTGGTAAAGGTAAATCATGATGATTAAAATGTTTTATTTAAGATTCAAACTAAAACATGGGTGTACAGAATGAAAATAAAGTTTAAAAATGACAAATGAAAAGAAAACTCTATCTGCAAGTTTGCCCACAAGACTTAAACATTTAAAGATTTGGTTCGTTCTTGCCAATGTCCTGATTTGTTGATTTGCTCTCAAGACCATTAAATGCTTACTATCTATTGTTTTTTTTTTGTGTTTTTGTTCTTTTTTTTTTTTTGGCCCAGGTGTTTGCAGATCAGTCGTTTACACCTGAGGAAATCTACTGTACACAGAGTTACTAAACTGGAGTTTACACTTCCACCACCGCCTGCAGGACAAACAGTGCTGAAACACAGACGTGGAAACGTGTTCACGTGTTCACTCTGGCAAAGGAAGAGCAGAAAAGCCCTGGGCTTCATTTAGATCTTCCAGAAACAAGCTACACCACGAACACAAGAGGTTCTTTACATGTTCTTTGCATGTGCGCATGTCTAAAGCTCAACACGCAGACTTCAGGCTCTTCTAGTGCATGGAGAGAAATGTAGAAATGTCCTGTTACCTTCGGAGAACTTGTCTTTGGGCAGGGGGAGTACAGCTGTTCCTCTCACTGGCTTTATTTTCTCTCTGTGTTGCCTGAGCACGCAGAAATCACCGCGGACGGACGTCCAGTTCTCACCGCCACGTTTCTAACTAAACTAAAGTAAACTAACTAATAACTCTACACTGTAACGAAACCTAAGCCCTAGTGCGCGTTTCTGACCGCTCATTGGAGCTTCACTAACGGGACCGCGTGTGTGCGGTGCGAAACCACGCCTCCTTCGCGCGCCGTCCACAGAGTTGCCTGGTCTACGAAGATCCCAAGAAATTTAGACACAGTTAAGTTTGAGCTTTTCTTTTGACTGAATTTAGCATACATAAAACGATGTATAGTTTATTATTATCCAGAAACTCAAACATGTAAGCTATTAAATGCCAAAGATATTAATACGCATTTAGGCTAATATTTCATGCAATACATAGAAATAAAGGTACTGGAGTGGTGCTATGAAGGGTCCAACTTTTGAAGCTTTAATATACTTGCCTTGCACCTCCAGGGCTGCGGGTTCGAGTACCGGATCCGCCCTGTGTGCGGCAAGTAGCAGACATTCCACAACATTGAATGTAACTCTAAATGGTTAAAATATGACATTTTCCATCCATCCATCTTCTATACCGCTTATCCTACAGGGTTGCGGGGAGCCTGGAGTCCATAACAGGGAGCATCGGTCTCAAGGCGGGGTACACACTGGATGGGGGGCCAATCCATCGCAGGGCACGATCATACAGACATTCACACACCCATTCATACACTATGGACACTTTGGACATACCATTCAACCTACCATGCATGTCTTTGGACTGGAGTACCCGGAAGAAACCCCCGCAGCACGGGGAGAACATATAAACTCCAATACAACATCCATCCAATCCATCCATCGATCTTCTATACCGCTTATCCTTTCTTCAGGGTCACGGGGAACCTGGAGCCTATCCCAGGGAGCATCGGGCACAAGGCGGGGTACACCCTGGATAGGGTGCCAGTCCATCAGGGCACAATCATACACACACTCCCAATCATACACTATGGACACTTTTGACATGTCAATCAGCCTACCATGCATGTCTTTGGACTTGGGGAAGAAACCGGAGTACCCGGAGGAAACCCCCGCAGTGAGAACATATAAACTCCAATATAACATGTTGTACATTAATAAAAGAAAAAAAAAACAATAATTGGAAAATTGGTATAAGTGAAAATGTGTATAATTGGAATGTGGTAGCTATGAGAGGATTAAAACACGTCGGGACGTGCTATTATTGGAAAATAATCAACTTCGGGTGCAGTAAATTTCCTCTATATTGTCCTGTCTTTTATTCGTGACTTGGCATGTTTGCACATATCTGGCAACCCTGACCGCAGGGTTACAGTTTACAGAGGAAAATTAACGGTTGGAAGGTATACAGAAAGTGTAGCGTTCCCCCAAAACATGGATCCAAGTTAGTTTAAAATGTGATGTAATCATGTTAACATGGACCATCAAGAAGTCTCAAAAGTCTGTTTCCATAGTTGAGGCTGCTTTGTGAGCAAAGGGAGGCCCTACCCAGTATTTAGTGTTCCTAATAAAGTGTCCAGCGAGTGTATAGACAATATCCTTTATACTATTGGTAATTTCCATGGGCATAATAATGGAGTAGAGTACAAATCACTTAAATATACAGTGAAGTAGGTCATCCGGATTTGAACCAGCAGCCAAATCTTAATCTTAATCTGCAGCCAAATGTTCTACCACTGAGTTATACCCCCACCCCCACTGTGCTATGACATTTGATCTATATTTTCTTTCTAAAAATGAAAATAAATTGACAAAAAATAAATAAATCTTCGTGAGCTGTAGGGGTCGCTCAAGAAGGTGGGCCCAGGGTAGTCTCCCTATTAAAATTCCACCAATGACACATCCTGAAATGGGTGTTAATGTTGAAAGTGAGCAAATGTTAATAGGTTATTAGATAAATGACCAAAATGCGTCTCAGTGTGGACTTGAAGTTCACCTTAAGCCATACACACCACACATAGGACATATGGCCCAAGCGCAAGTCTTCAAAGGAAATGCATGCTGAGTGCTGGCAATTAAAACTGCAAATGTTTTCTTACTGCATTCTTCACAAGACTGAAGAATGTGGCCTTTCATTCCGAGTTGACTGAACTGCACTAAACTGTAGATGCAGCACCTCGACCGCATGAGGGCGCTAAAGCTGATCTGAGCTGCATCAAAAAGAAGTTCTGCTCAGGTATGGTGGCCAATCAATCATAAATCATACCAATCATCTCTTGAAAGCCACAGACTATTTGCGTATTGTTGCTGACCTTGTGCATCCCATCATGGCTACAATTTACCCACCTTCTAATGGCTACTACCAGCACAATAATGCAGCACGTTATAAAGCATCTCAAACTGGTTATAAAGCATCTCAAACTGGTTTCATAAACATGAGTTTCAAGTGATTTATCAGTGCCCTTCCAAGTCACTGGATCTGAAAAATTGAGATGTGGTTGAACGGGGGATTCGCAGCATGAAAGTGCACCTGAAAAATCTGCAGGAGCTAATCACGTTAACACGGACCAGAACCTCAAAGGAATGTTTCAAACATCTTGTTGAATCCATGCCACAAATAACTGAGGCTGCTTTGAGAGCAAAGGGAGGCCCTACTCATTATTAGTATAGTGTTCCTAATAAAGTGTTTAGTGAGTGTGTAGAAAATATCCTTTATCCATCCATCCATCCATCCATCTTCTACCGCTTACTCTTTTTCTGGGTATTGGTAATTTCCATGGGCATAAAAATGGAGTAGAGTACAAATCACTTAAAAGATACAGAAATTTTAATGTTATATTACTCTATAGCAACAATAGTCTCAATAGTCTCACATAATGGCATTCAAGTGATGACTGATTGGTATGACTGATGATTGATTTGCCACCATACCTGTAATCAGGGCCAGATTTAGTGATTTGAAAGCCCTTGGTAAAATTTACATATTTTATAGGGCCCTATACAATATTTTAAGATTGATATTGACATTTTCAGCATATGCTATTTAAAATTAATAATTAAAATATGTCCCTGCTTTATGTGAAGGGTGATGGTATAGCTATAGTCATATTAATGGTGTAGAGCAGGGGTGGGCAATCTTATCCAGGCGGGGCCAGTGTGGGTGCAGGTTTTCATTCCAACCAAGCAGAAGCCACACCTGAATCTATTGAAAGCCAAGATCAACTGATTAAACAGGTGTGCCTACTGCTTGGTTGGAATGAAGACCTGCACCCACACCGGCCCTTTCCAGATAAGATTACCCACCCCTGGTGTAGAGTGTAAGTCACTGGGTTGTAATTGTCAGACAGGGTGCACCCAAATTTGAACCAGGAACCTCTTGGACTGCAGTCAAATGCTCTACCACTGCATTATACCCCCCTTGATAGGGATATTTGCATTTGACTGCAGTGCAAGAGGTCCCCTGTTCAAATCTGGTTGCCCTCTCCAAGTCGCACTGCTGTGTCTTTTAAGTGATTTGCACTCTGCTCCATTTTTGTGAAGTGGGGCGTACATGGATCGGACTTGTTTGTCCAGCACGTCCCACAGATGTGTGATCAGATTGAGATCAGTGGAATTTGGAGGCCAAGTGAAAACATAGTTTTTTCCTGCTTCAAACACATCGACTTTGAGAGCTGACTGTTCACTTGCTGCCTAATATTTTTATATTGATTATCTTATTTTAATAATAAGATTCAATTCCCCTGCCAGTGGTTTTAATGTTATGGTAAATGTGCACTTATATAGCACTTTTATCCAAAGCGCTTTTCACTGTGTCTCATTCACCCATTCACACACACTCACACATCAATAGTAGCAGAGCTGCCATGCAAGGCGCTAGCTTGCCATCAGGAGCAACTTGGGGTTCAGTGTCTTGCCCAAGGACACTTTGGCATGTGGAGTCACCCGGGCCGGGAATCGAACCTCCAACCCTACGATTAGTGGACAACCCACTCTACCACCTGAACCACAGCCGCCCCATGCTGTCAGAAATCCACGTTATGCCTAGAAAGTGAGTAGAGTCGATTTCTAAGAATTCAAACATAGGTGACATTTTCTTTCCTCATTAGTTAATAATCACTGATGAGTTAAATCTGGGTTAGAAGAGTTAAAGGTCATGTCAGCATTCATCAATCTTGTTACCTACATGCCTTGTCTATTAGTTTCACTGTAGTTACTGAATTACTCATGGTAGTTTACAACTCAGTGAAATGCTTAAATAAATAGCACAATACTAATCCAATAGTTTAAGGGGTTAATCAATTGTTTATAAAACAGTTGGATACTTTCAGGAAATGTTTTCAATGATACAGAACTGGTCACTTAGTGGAAGAAAAATGGCTCTGAAGGTACCAGGTACACTTGCAGGCACTAAGGTAACAACATTCTTTTAATACCTCTGAGAGAGAAAGAGAGCAAGAGCTGGTTAGACAGGCTTTGCTGAGTGTCCTTGACAGTCGTATGTAGGTGTAGGCGTGTGTGTATGTACATGTATGTGGTCTGAAATAGTTCCTTCCCGGAACGTGACTACTCATGTATGTGTGAGAGAGAACAAAAACCTTTTAAATTAATCTATTATCTCAATCTGTCAGTTATTGGAAACACTCAACAGACAGTCAAAGCACACTGAGGGTGAGACACTTAGATAGGGAGAACGAGAGAGAGGTTGGCCGAGACCTGACAAGTGTTCTTGTTTTTCTTGTTTCTGCATTTCTCTACGAGGCGTAAACAGAAGATGTGAGACTGACGCATGGCTACTCGTAAGGTAAGAGGTTAACAATTCATTTTATCGATGTATTTTTTCCAAATGTCAGAATTGTAATTCCAAAAGCATCGACTGCAAAAGTGGGTTAAAGAAAGTTGTCTATTGGGATATTAACTGACCACCAGATATTTTGAGGTATTTCAAGAAATCCCTTTATATACTTGTGTGTTTTGTTATGACACTAATATATATATATATATATATATATATATATATATATATATATATATATATATATATATATATATATATATATATATATAGATATAGATAGATATAGATATAGATATAGATATATCATAGAGTTTATAAATGTTTGCAGTATATAGACATAGTGTCAATCTTATATACATAAAATGCATATCGATATGTATATAGGATGCATGTTATGAAATGAAATGTTTCCCAGTTTGAGTTTATTTAAGCTGATACATGTTACAACACCGTTACTGTAATTGTGATCCTATTTCATGTTCCCTTAGAACATGAAATATTTTAATATGATACTAAAAATCTGTACAAGCTTTTTTTTTGGTTTTGTAAAAATCATAAACCTGCTAACATTGGTGCTAAACATCAAATTATGTGTAGTTTATAAACTAGAACAGTTTAATCGTATGTGGAATGTGAGTTACACCATCCCTGGTTCTCAAATATCTCATAAAACAACCACAATAAGATTACACACGCTTACAGGATACACCTTTTCCCTTTCCAGTTTCTGTAGTGTAAGATTATTAAAAGACAGGAATTTTGCAGAGTCATGGTACAACATCATGGAAAAAACCTCCTATTTTATACAGTATATGGTGTCAAGATTCCAAACAGTATTGTTGTACCCTCAGAAAGCTTCATTATAGCCTTGACCATAACAGTTACGGTAGAGTTTCATCCGGTTATTATGACATAACCAAAACCAGACACTTGACACCAGGTCAAATTACACAACCCTGTACGGGTTTGGGTCCTATAGCCTGAATAAATTCAGCTGATTCTGTCCTATGATGTTCTTTTTCACATCTGGTGTAGATTATGTTGGTCTTTCTTTATTTAAGGTAGGTTAGAGAAATCTAAGCAGAGATAACATCGCTTCGACTTGGACGTTCCGCTGCAGGGGAAAGAAAATGTAGAAACGCAGGCTTTAGTGTTTAATATGATCCAGCACATGGACCTCAACTCACGAAGGAGTTAGTAAACAGTTAACTACCTAATACGTTCTAGTTCACACTTGTTTAAACTTAGTGGATAGCCACACACAGAACGTACATGGCAAATAGACAAAGATAGACCCATATGTCTGATTATACAGTGCATACTGGATTTAGTACAAAGTAAACCATGCCATGGCATGCTGTTAGAGGAAAATAATCAATGATGTTACTGTTAAAATGCTTCACCCATTTATAGTTACATTTAATGTTGGGGAACATCTGTGTTTCCTGTTATCACTTACGATATAGCAGCTATAAACAGTTGTTCAGTCACCAGACTCACATTTTTTCTCTCTTGAAGTTAGAGCTTAAAGTTACAGCTTAACATCTGTCCGGTACAAAGCGCGGACACTGGAGACTCCTTCCAAATACGTTAAATAATCTTCTACTGACAGAAAGATTCACCATATCAACAGTGAGATATTTATGATTGTTAAAACCTGTTAAAAAATGTTTTTTACTACTTCTTCTTCTTCTTGTACTACTACTCCTACTACTAATGTGGCTCCTCCTACTGCTACTATTACAACTGCTATTACTTCTGCAACTATTAATACTCCATAGTAGTAGTAGTGGTAGTGGTGGTAGTATTGTGCACCACCACACCACGCACCCCCAACAACTCAAGCTCAAAAGTATATAAATTATTACTGCTATCACATAAAATGTCATGTCTATACAGTGAGGGAAAAAGGTATTTGATCCCCTGCTGATTTTGTACGTTTGCTCACTGAGAAAGAAATGATCAGTCTATAATTTTAATGGTAGGTTTATTTGAACAGTGAGAGACAGAATAACAACAAGAAAATCCAGAAAAACGCATGTCAAAAATGTTATAAATTGACTTGCATTTTAATGAGGGAAATAAGTATTTGACCCCTCTGTAAAACATGACTTAGTACTTGGTGGCAAAACCCTTGTTGGCAATCACAGAGGTCAGACGTTTCTTGTAGTTTGCACACATCTCAGGAAGGATTTTGTCCCACTCCTCTTTGCAGATCTTCTCCAAGTCATTAAGGTTTCGAGGCTGACGTTTGGCAACTCGAACCTTCACCACCCTCCACAGATTTTCTATGGGATTAAGGTGTGGAGACTGGCTAGGCCACTCCAGGACCTTAATGTGCTTCTTCTTGAGCCACTCCTTTGTTGCCTTGGCCGTGTGTTTAGGGTTATTGGAATACCCATCCACGACCCATTTTCAATGCCCTGGCTAAGGGAAGGAGGTTCTCACCCAAGATTTGACGGTACACGGTCCCGTCCATCGTCCCTTTGATGTGGTGAAGTTGTCCTGTCCCCTTAGCAGAAAAACACCCCCAAAGCATAATGTTTCCACCTCCATGTTTGACGGTGGGGATGGTGTTCTTGGGGTCATAGGCAGCATTCCTCCTCCTCCAAACACAGCGAGTTGAGTTGATGCCAAAGAGCTCCATTTTGGTCTCATCTGACCACAAACTTTCACCCAGTTGTCCTCTGAATCATTCAGATGTTCACTGGTAAACTTCAGACGGGCATGTATATGTGCTTTCTTGAGCAGGGGGAACTTGCGGGCGCTGCAGGATTTCAGTCCTTCACGGCGTAGTGTGTTACCAATTGTTTTCTTGGTGACTATGGTCCCAGCTGCCTTGAGATCATTGACAAGATCCTCCCGTGTAGTTCTAGGCTGATTCCTCACTGTTCTCATGATCACTGTAACTCCACGAGGTGAGATCTTGCATGGAGCCCCAGGCCGAGGGAGATTGACAGTTCTTTTGTGTTTCTTCCATTTGCGAATAATCGCACCAACTGTTGTCACCTTCTCACCAAGCTGCTTGGCAATGGTCTTGTAGCCCATTTCAGACTTGTGTAGGTCTACAATCTTGTCCCTGACATCCTTGGAGAGCTCTTTGGTCTTGACCATGGTGGAGAGTTTGGAATCTGATTGATTGATTGCTTCTGTGGACAGGTGTCTTTTATACAGGTAACAAGCTGAGATTAGGAGCAATCCCTTTAAGAGTGTGCTCCTAATCTCAGCTCGTTACCTGTATAAAAGACACCTGGGAGCCAGAAATCTTTCTGATTGAGAGGGGGTCAAATACATATTTCCCTCATTAAAATGCAAATCAATGTATAAAATTTTTGACATGTGTTTTTCTGGATTTTTTTGTTGAGAGGAGTGGGACAAAATCCTTCCTGAGATGTGTGCAAACTACAAGAAACATCTGACCTCTGTGATTGCCAACAAGGGTTTTGCCACCAAGTACTAAGTCATGTTTTGCAGAGGGGTCAAATACATATTTCCCTCATTAAAATGCTAATCAATTTATAACATTTTTGTCATGCGTTTTTCTGGATTTTTTGTTGTTATTCTGTCTCTCACTGTTCAAATAAACCTACCATTAAAATTATAGACTGATCATTTCTTTGTC